TTATTAATGAACGAAATTTATTAAGATTAAATTTATTTAATAATATGAGTAAAACATTTAAAAAATTTTCAATATTAATTATAATTATTTTAATATTTTTTATTATAATGAGTTTTATTATTTTTTTTATTATTTATTATATATGTATAAGAAAAAATGTTGAAAAAAAATTATATGGTAGTAGATTAATTGTTAATGATGAAGATAAATCAAAACAAAATAGTCCACAAACAAAATCAACAACCGTTATATTACCATCAATTCATAGTAATGATTATACTATTATTACTAAACAAAGAAAAGTAAGTTATACTAATGTGTTTATATCTTGAGTGTGTCATTCATTTTATTTTTTGGAGTATATATATCAACACTAGAATTTTTGCCCTTTACGTCGATACGTTTACATAGGATCAATCGAGTGATGATGATTGTTTTTTCTTGCTCAACTGAGCGCATGCATATCATTTCGAATGGCCATGTGGCTACTAATGACCTTCTCTTTCTCTATTAGAAAAATATGACAGTCTCTTGGTTTTATGAGCTAATAAAAAAAAAGAAAGAAAAAGAACTATTTAAATTAAAAAAAAAGAAAATTTGATATTAATCATATAATTCTTTGTTCAGAATTCACAAATTCCATGTGCTAATAGTCCATCGACAACAGATGCTGAATTTTCTTCATCACTTCTTTCTTGTCCATTCAATGGTACATCATCATCATCAACATCAGATCTTGATCGTTCACATAATAATAATAATAATAATAATCATCATCATCATCATAATCATCAAAATCTACCATCATCAACTGTATCAGCATTAACAACTCTTACACGAAAATCAACACGTCGACAACAAACAAAAAATGTTAGTTTTCAAGCAACATTAACTAATCCAACAAATAATGTTTTTAATGATTTATTTCAAAATACATCATCAACATTTAGTACATTACCAAAACAAACAAAACATGATATATCAATAGCAAATATAAATCAAAATTCACCTATTTTAACAGATTTACCACGAACACAATCAAATGATTTTCCAACATTACAAACAATACTTAATCCATCAATAAAAGATATTCAAACAAAATTACCACAACCACAACCACCACCATTACTTAATGGAATTCTTTTACTTGATAAAATGCTTGCAAAATCATCAATAACAAATAATAATGAGAAAAAACATACAATATCACCATCATCATCAACAATTAGTAATAGTGGATGGTATAATGTCACATCAAATTATCAGACACGAGCTAGTATTGTATAATTATTGTATAACCAAGTGTGCATGTTGACTAGTCGTTGTTTCTTTTTTCTTTTTCTTTGTATAGGGAATTGTTTTGAATAATAAAAACTGTTGCTTTTATGTGTGGATTAAACATTTCCATAATTTGAAATGTTTAAATCATAGATCTAATAGATGAATTTTAATACTAAAAGAGATTTTCAATGGGACTTGAGAGTCTAATTAAAAAAAAAATGTCTTCGCTATATCCAGAGGGAGCATCAAGTGACTAATAAATAAAAGAAATAGTAGTTTTGTAGAATAGAACATATAGGGAAAAACAAATCTGCATGAAGATTAATCGGTGATACAAAGAAAAAACTTTCTTTTTGTATTTAATCTTCCCATAATTAGACATCAATATGAAATATGATGATGTCATATATCAATCACTAACATTAATCAAAATGTATAGCATCATACTTCTAGCAGCACATACAATTAACAGCAAGTGGAGTTGATCATAGGTTGTTTTCTGCTTTTGTTTAGATTCACTTAAGAATATTACCATAGAGAACTTTAGTACATCTCTTCGAAATTAAAAGAATTTCTAATGAATATTTAAAGTAGATATGGTAGAGCATATCTTAGAATGTTCATCATATAGATTCTAATGAGCTATAAATATTCTGAAAAGAGTTCGATTGAAACTTTCCATACAGTCAGATCTTAATAAGAATATCAAAATTGTTGGTGGATATGGGCAATCTGAAAAAAAAGCGTTTTTTTCATAGTTATATCTTACTATAGAAACGACGAAAAGATCTTAAACTTCCATCATAAATTATTCTTAGCAGTGTTCATATCGGTGGAAAGTTTCAAGACGATATTCGAAAATTAGTTTTCTCTATGTTTCTGATTAGACGCCACAACATTAACTTCAAATATATTGAATGCAAAGCAATAATCCCAAGTCAAAACTGATTAATCATGTAGGAAACTTTTGTATATATATCTCAACAAGGAGAATATTAAAGATTTTATCTGAAACTTCTTTAGCACGATATTACTTAAATGATATGTTGACAATGAAGAGCTTGGAACTAAAACTTTCTCAATCAAATATGTATTTCCGAACAACTTATTGTCGTTCATAATAAATTTTTCCCAACAGATGTCTCTCAAAATAATTCATTTATTAGCGACATGTAAAAAACTTGGAAAATCAAACTAAAGAATTGTTGCCAAGCATCATAACATGTAAATGGTAATAGTTTGAATCTATTTGTTATTTAATTGATCATGCCGCAAGTTGTTGCTACACAAACTTATTGTCTTGAAAATTCAAATAAATTAACACGACCAGGTTTTGAAACATTTTTGACTACTGATGATAGTCGTGGACCAACAGTTGTTGATAAACGTCAAGTTAAACGTCTCTATCGTTTACAACGCAAACCTAACACAAATACTCGTCTACATTTGGATAATTCAGATGTTGGCTATGATACAGAAGGACATTTCGAAAGTGTTGTACGTAAACAAATAGATGAAAGTTTTGTTCAACCACCTAAAAGAGTTTATCATCGACCATTGGATGTATCAAATAAAGCCTTGGCAAAACTTTCATTGGGAAAAACTCGTCGTGATCCTCAACAGATTATACCAAGTCAAATTACAACAGTGCGTAGTCATCCAGAAGCTATTACTATACTTCGGTATGATAAAAATCTAACAAAAATTTGAATCGATATACGAAGTTTTGTTTTTTTATTCTTCAGACATGAACAAGATTCTGATAAAGAAATTGTACCTCGTTTTACAGATCGACTAGTTTTAGATCGAACTATTCGTAGTCGATTAGGTCCCGGTGGTAATTTTTTCTCTATGATATCTTTCGTAAATTTTCTTCTTTTTTAGGTACACTAAATCCTGGAGAAGATTGTAAACAAGCTGAAGATTATCTTCGAAATCTTACATCTAATTCGAAACAACAAAAAAGCTTAAAAATGAATGAATTACATCGCAATCAACTCGCTCATCATTTTATGTGTACATCCATGCAACAAGCTGCTTTTGATGAAATACCATGGGGTAAAATAAAATACATCATCAGTTATTTAATTTTTTTCTTTTTTTGTTTCTTCAAATGAAAAATTTGTTAGATTCAAAACTACCACCAAAATTACCAGTACCATTAACAACTTATGAAGTTAATGGTAGTGATCCATTATTAAAATCGAAAAGTCATTCATCATTTCTTGATTCACGTACATGTAATATTCTTCAATGGGATCGTGTACAATCACGAAATATTCATTACAATCAAAAACCTTTTAATAATGTTGAACCATTACCACGTGCACAACAGATACCTGGTTATTCAGGTTCAATTGGTGGTTATAATCTACAAGATATTGATAATCCAGAAATTGATTTTAAACCTTATACAGTACTTCGTACTGAACAACCAAAATTTTCACTCAATCCTTTGTGAGTTAAAGATTTTTCGATCTTTTTTTTTCTTTCATAAAAGCTTGAAATGAAGAGTATATGTCACAAAAAGTAGCAGATACTGTTGAGTCATATAATGATCAATAATAAAAGAGCTTTAGTTGTTGTCCTACTTTCATCGAACAAAAATGGTTCTGGAATCATTTTACGGAATTCATGTTGTTCTAAAAGATTTTGAATGTAGACATTCCAAAAATTCTCGAGCAGATCTATCGTTTGGTATTATTCAGCGTATCTCATCTTGAGGAGCTCAAGAAAACGGCTGTCTCTTTTGCTAATCTTACCAAAAATTTTAAAAAAATTCATAAAGAAATGTTAAGTGCGAATGAAGATTCTTCATGCAAAGCGAAAACATCATACTTCAATGTACTCTAAGGATATGCAAAAGCTATTCTTGAGACCTTGTTAACTATTTCAAATATACTATGGATACCTTTTACGAGTGTATTAATTTGTCTTCATTCTAAATAAATCTTTCTACCACAAAAATTTCTATAAAATGAACTAAAACTAATATGTTCGTTATATACCCTTAGAATACGTTGAAGTATGGAATTTTGTTGTTTTCTTCTTGATAAGACTTTACAAGACTTCAACACTGAAGTCTCTGTTGTTCTTCCTCTCTCGAGTATCGTACGATGATGCTGTGTGATACTAGCTACCTAAGAAAAACAGAGAATACTATGACTATCTGGTGAAGATAGATAGTCATACAAGTTAAAATCTGCATCAAAGCTTAAAACGTATATATATATATGTATAAAGTTTCCGTTGCCAAAATGTTAAATATATTTTCTTTCTAGTAAAACAAATATTCCATTTTATACTGGAAAAACACATTGGACTAAAGTTGATCCTGTATCTCATTATGATGAATTTGGTCACGCTTATACAACAACAGCAGCATTTCATAAGTAAGAAATTGTATTTTTTTTTTCTTGGTTTATTTTTTACTTTAATATTTATGATTAGATCATTTCCTATTGATAATTCATTGTATCATCATTCTGATTTACATGGACCATTATCACAAATTGTAACAACTGTTATACCACAAAATCCATTTAATCAAATGGATATTAGTAGTACAACAATAAATGCATCAATAGATAGTCGATCACATATTTTAATTCGACAATTACCAAGAAAATCATTAAACGACAATAAAAAAAATGAAAAACAAATTGTTAATAATGAAGTTAACAATTAAAACAATGAATTTAATTTTTTCATTTCTATTATTAATCAAATAAAATATCATTACTTTTTGTATAAAACCATTCATTTGTATATAATTCACGAGGTCGTAAATGTTGAGAAAGTGGTCGATGTAAATGATTGTATAATAATTTGATGATATTTTCATCATTATGATTCTGTTGATTTGGATTGAAAATTTTATTTTCAATTGAATTGAATTTATGATCTATCTTTTTTGTAATATTCATAATATTGTTTTGTGAAGATTGAGAATGTTGAAATTGATTCATCTTTAAATGAGTATTATTATTTGATAATCATTTTTTTTCTTCATAATCTAATGCTATTTGAGCTTTAAATAGATTTTGGTAAAATGATGAGAATTAGTAGATAATAGCAATAGCTTATTTCGTTTATTTAAAATAAAAAATAATGAATATCAATCAGGCGCGAATACAAAAAAAAAATTTCTATAGAAAAAAATATTCGAAACTACTATATAAGTTTTTATTTAACATTAGTATAGAAAAATTTGTATTCGAGATAAGTTTCTCAATACGTTTGTTCGACGACATAGATTCACTCTAAAGAAAGAATTATATACATAATAATACATGCAGTTCATATTGAATTCAGAAGAAAATCTCAATGAGCTTAGCATTATTTTCATTTGAAAAAAGATCGTTAGTGTATATTACATATTTATAAAACAGTTCAAAACATGTTGAATATTGTCATTCAATGTAATCAAAATATAATATTGTTAATGTTTGTCAAAGATGGCGTTAGATTCTTTTTTTTTGTATAAAGCTGCTGTTGCTAGGTTGCAATTGACTAACGTAATAGAAAACATGGTGTGAATAAAAATAAAGTACTCATACTTCGAAAGTATTTACATAATAAATTGTTATAAATGTTGATTTGAATATGACGAATGATAATGAATTTCAACCAGATCTATCCGAAAATGAAGAAGAAGATAATAAATCATTAAAAAATGATATTGATGATAATTTATCTGAATTATCATTGTCTTCATCACCTGAATTAGATCTACAAGAAAAAGATTGTGAAGACGAAATTAAAAATAATGATCTTTCACCTGAAGTACATGATCAAGTCGATGAAATTCTTCATATTAATGAAAATCAAGAAGAAGATGAACTTACTCAATTTATAAAACAAGCTAAACAACAAGATTATAATTGTCTTGATCTTTCAAAAAAAAATATTACTAAATTTCCATCAACATTATTAGAATTTCCTTCATTGCAAGTAAATTCTTATTAAAATAATTCGATTTTAACAAAAAAAAAAAAAAACTCATCGATATTTTTCTTTTTCTCTTTTTAGTATTTATATTTAGAAGGTAATGAAATAACACAATTACCAGATGATTTATTTCTTCGATTACCTTATTTAAAATGGATTGATTTACGCAACAATAAAATCACTCATATTCCGAGTCTTGGTCTCGATAAACATAATTCATTACGATATTTATTATTAAGTGGAAATTTAATTCGAACACTACCTGTTCAACTTGGTAAAGTTTATGTTTTAAATTCATATGTATATACAGTAGAGTGCAACAAAAAAAATTGCCATTCGAATTTCTCACTAAAGCATCTCTACTCAAAAACAAAAAACTCAAATTTCATTAGAAAAATTGATATTAAGATAAATACATAGAGATTTAGTCACGTATCAGAAATTAATTTAAATCTGAACGAAAGATTTCTCACGTTGAAATTTCGAACATACTTTTTCGGACTACTTTTAATCGACTCTCATAAATTCTAAGAGCTAGTAGTTTTTAATTAATGCTTTCATTACATAGTATCAAAAAAGTTTTGTTTGATGGTCAAGATCTTGTCAAATATCAGCATTATGCATTAGGGAAAATATTTTGATATTAAGATATTTTAAAATAGGACTCTTTGTATAAAAATCGTACTATCTTTCTTTTAATAATAGTATCCGTTTAAGAATTGAGTTGTCTTTCAGCTGTTTTAATAGGGTCTCATTTGTTTTTCAAAAATTTTTGACGATGCTTGAAAAATATGTGTTTATTAGAGCTGGGAAATAGATGAAGAGAACAAGTACATCCACATCCGAATCTGTTTTTTTGATATTACTCGTCATATCACTAGGATATAATTATTCACGCATCAAATACTTTGTCATGTGGTGTTGCCCTAAGGCCGAAATTAAACGAAAATTAGTTTTCAGTATTGAATATGCTATTCAAAATCTGATCTGAATAAATATTGAGCCTACCGACACTTGATGCTTTTGGCATATTTGAATTTTCTTCGACTTTTCTAATTTGTATTAACATTATTTTTATAAGTTTCACTGCAAAAACATTGTAAACTTTTCTAAATTTTCAAATTGTTTGCATCTTATTATCTCTGAAAGTATCTATAATAATCGGTCTAAATTCTTTGGAACAACCTAATTTGTATGGATATTTGATATACAACAATATTTTTTGAACAAAAAGTAAAAACTCTTGATTCATTTAAACTATAATTGTCTTCAACTTTGTCCATTTACTTCTAGTTCAATTTTAATATCGATCCTAACATGTATATATATATATATTGATTTAGGTAAATTAAAAGGTTTATCAGCGCTTAATCTCGATGGTAATCCATTAGATCATCCACCATTGGAAATAGTTAAACACGGTATTAAAGCAATTCAACAATATTTACGTAATGAACATATTCATCATTCAAAATGTACAAATCAAAAAACTGATTCCGAAGATGAAAATTATTATGATGATGAACAACAAACTAATATTGTACAAGATGTTTGGGCATCATCTGATGATGATAATGATGATCAACAACGACGAATAGCAAGGTCTTCTAAACCTTCTACCCTTATATCTCGTCCATCGTTGATACTCCTTCGAAAATCTAAGTATTTTGATAGTAGCAAAAAAAAAAAATAATAAAATCATTCACCATATTTTTTTAAATATTTGGATGAAATGATTTCGAGCATAAGTTTTGCTCATCTAGTCCTTATTTACATATATAGATCTGAAGCGAGCTACTATAAATCAGCTATTGCAAATCCGTTAACTACTCATCTTCAATCATGTATACATCAACAGAGAGTGAGTTATTCGGAAATGCGTATGCATCCTTCACCATCATGTCGACAACGAGCTAAGTCTGATATCAAACTTCCTCGAGTGTATGTTGGTTGTTTCTATATAAAAAAAACAAATTAGTGTCAATGAGTCTGTGCACGTCTTGCACTTTCAATCGTTCTTTCTCTCTCTCTCTGTCGTGTTTTTTTTTGTATCCTGTTGTTGATTGTACCACTATGTTTGACTGGTTGATTTGTTGCTATTGCAATAACGAGCAAAGGAGAGAGAGAGAGTGAGCTTCATTTGTTTCTCAAGTGTTGTTATCTTAATTTAATCAAAAAAAAAAAAAAGAAAAGGAATTCTTTTTTTTTTTGTTCTCTAATATTGTATTTGTTTAGAAAAACAAAGACAATAACAAAAAAAAACAATCAACTAACACAAATAATATCAAATGATCCAGTGGGAGATGCTTATGCAGCTCGAGCACGAGAAGAACAACGACTTATACGTTTGAAAGTATGTTCTCATACTTAAAATAATCAACAATAACAACAAAAAAAAAAAAAAAAAAGAATAATTATTTTGTTTGTTTATTTTAATTAAAGCATCATCATATAAAAATAAATGAAGAATTACAAAAAGTAAAAAATAAAGAATTATTACATGAGTGGAAAGAAGATTATCGTACTAATCAACAAAAATTACATCGAAAACGTCTTGTTAAAGGCAAAGGTAATTTTGTTTTTTATAAAAATATATATATTTTATTTGAATGAACAAAAAAAAATAAGACTATCAAGAAGCAGTTGTACAAGCACCATTCGGTATTGATCCTCATTATATTTCCGTTATGGACAAAGATCAACAGGAAATGGTCGAAAAAGCAATCAGATATGAAAGTCGTCGTAATCGTTCACCTGAAAGTGCGATGCGAGAAGAAGAAGAAAGGTAAATACGACTGACAATCAACAGTGTAACTGTATTTTAGTAAAATTCTAGCCAAAAAACGTAATTGTTTCTTATATAATTACTCTCCATTTCGATCCCATTCAATTCACATCGAAAAATTTTCTTCTATATTCCTTTTTTTTTTGAATAATATTCGGATTAATAATTTATTATAGTAGTTCGTTTCCATCAGCAAAACATTTTTCTTGTAGTCCCATTCTTGGCCTCGACGAAATTTCAAATATTTGTTCTCTTCTCAGTTCGATCTTAATATTCTCAATTACCATTATGCATAATCATATTTAATATACAACGTAATAACATAAAAAATACGAAAGTTATCAATATTTATTATGCATAATGAAAAAAAAATTAAGTTGTTTTTTTTCACGGTTTTACCACATTGAATTGCTAATTGTTAACCTTGATAGTAAAGTAAACGTATAGTTATGAATTGCATGTTATGTATTTTTTCGCTTTTCGTTCTTAACAATGATTCCTGAGATATTATTTGGTTGACGCCAAATTATATTATAAATTTTGTTCAACCAATAATCATCTGAGAATGAATTCTTTAAATGACTAATCATGAACATAAGTAAAGACTTTCAGTAGTATATAGATATATTTTTTAGAACTAGAATTTTCTTTTGATTTGATTGAAATATATTTATATTGGCTTTTTTTTTAAAATCTTTATTTAGACGTATACGTGATCGACAAATTCAAGATCGTATACGTGAAATAACTGGTAAAATAATTAAACGTCGTAGTGAAGTACGAGGAAATGCATATGAAGAAAAACGTCAAGCTGAACTTGAACTACGTGAAGTAAAATATTGAATAATGTTATTTTCCTATTTAATTCTTTTTTTTTTGTCTCTTTTTTTTTTTAGTTAAGAAAACTTGAAACTGAAGTTAAACAACGTCGTACTCAAATCGATAGTCGTTTTAAAGCATATACTGGTGATGTAAAAGCTCGTAAAAAATTGTGATTTGTCATAGTTTTTTTATTTGTAAAAATTCATATGCATGAATAAATTTGAATTATATAATCGAAATGTAATATCAATTCTTGAATATTTGTGCTTGATGAATTTCAATTTTTAAGTAAGCTTATGGCAAAAAAAAAAAATAAGAAAGTTAACGCATTTCAATGTTGTTATTATTATTATAATTATTATTGATAAAAAAGATTTTCAACACATCATATGTTTTACTTTCGATTTTAAT